TCCTCCTCCTCCTCCTCCTCCTCCTCCTCCTCCTCCTCCTCCTCCTCTTCCTCCTTGGACAAGAAAGTGAGGAGGACCTTTACCAAGCCCAGTGTCTATTCTTCAGAACTCATCAGGGGCCTTGTCCCTGTATCTGGACCAACGGGACAGCTCTCTCCTCTCATCTTTCTGAAACAGGTTTCCAGAAATAAGGTCACAGCTTCAGAGACAGTGGCTGCCTGCCTTGGAGGTCCTTCCTCTCTATATATGCAGGAAAAGAACAGGAGCAAACCGAGGCCTGGAATGGAAAGGAGATTACTTCTTGTGAGAATCGCTGACCAGGCTCTCACTAGCTGATCGCATCCCAACATGGTGTTACCAAATCTCCCAGGTCCTTCCTCTTTCTTTAGGGTAGCCTGGAAGTAGTGCCCAACACCAATCATTCCTGGTGGCCTTTTTATTTCTTCACTACCTTCCCTATCCAGTACCACCATGGCCAGGGAGAGGAGGCCGGAAACGACAGCATATTGAAGCACTCATGACATTAATTGTAGGTCCCAAGTTCCTTAGTTCCAAGCTCCTCAGCCCCCGAGTTTTAGAACCAACCTTGAGCCAGACCCTGCTTGCTGAGCAGGATTCATTCTCAGTCTTTGAGTCAGAGACTAAAGAATCACCAGCTCTACTCTGCAGAGACCACCAGTTGATTGATCGACCCTAGATTTACCTCAGTTGCTTCCCTCCACGTCCCTTTCCTTCCCAAAGTCTTGTTGGGACTTTATTCTGACCTACAGTATAACTGGTGGTGGGCCTCAATGTTAAGGGTCTTCCCAGCTCCAGTCAAGGGAAACCAGTCCGCATTTATTTTAGTGGCAGGAGCGCCAGGGACCCAACCCTCCACAGTATGATAGCAGCACAAATCAAGGAGAAAAACCACTCTATTTCTTATTTAAAAATAAGTTGCTTCATACAAGTCACTATTTAAAAATATACAAATAATGATCAAGAAACAAAATCTAGCTCTGGAATTGGCGGTGGGGCAACAATCAAGAGTTTTGGAGAAAGTCCCTTGCGTGTGTTTTTTGTTTTTGTTTTTTGCCATTGCTAGTTAGGACAACCCAGGGACCCAGGACTCAAGAAGGGCCCCCTGCAAGGGTCACCTCCTGACTTTGATGCGGCTGTAGCTCTACTGCGCCAAATAGCAATGTCCCAAGGCTAGGGTGGCTCTAGGCACCCCGCAGCAGCCTCACCAGTTCCAGGAGACCAGAGCTGGTGATGCTAAGTGCTGGTAGGCAGGGAACAGGCCTAGCGCCGAACCCGGTCCGAAAGCGGCATAGCCTGGTACTGGGCACGCCGTGGCCGGGCGTGCGCTGCACTTGTCCTGGGGCACCGCAGCGGTCCCCTCACTCCTGCCGTTGCACGGTGGCCGGTCGTGAACCAGCACGGGTACCACTACGCGGCGCAGCAGGCCGGGAGCGGCGTGCAGATCAGCTGATGCTGCCATATCGGAAGACTCTGTGACCCCTGGCGCTCGCCCACGCTTCAGCTTGTAGCGGTGGTTCTGGAACCAGATCTTGACCTGCGTGGGCGTGAGGCGCAGAAGTCGAGCCAGCTGTTCCCGCTCGGGAGCCGACAGGTAGCGCTGCTGCCGAAAGCGCCGCTCCAACTCCAAGGTCTGGGCCTTGGAGAACAGCACCCGCCGCTTCCTCCTCTTCTCCGCGTCGGAGCCGGGGGACGCCCGCCCAAGAGAAGCTAGCTGCGATGAGTCTGCGGGGCTTGTCTCCAGGCCGCTCTCATCTGAGGCTGGGAACCACAAAGCAGACATCGCCTGGTGAGAGGCCAGCCTCTGCGAGTGTCTCGGACCTGTCTCTCCCACCCTGCCTTCCACCTGGAGTCCCCATTCCCTTGCTCCGGACTATTTGCTTCGCTGGATTCACATCTGGGCACTTGCGTCTCCTACTTTTACGACCATTCTACAAAAGTAATCAGCAGACCCGAGACGATGCCCTGGAGAAACCCACCCTGAGGTTCTCTTAAAGGAGTCGCAACAGCAGCTAAGCAGGCAAACTAGTTTCCCACAAGCTGGGTCACCAATATTGGCCACCTCTGTTTTGACAAAGTTTGCAAAGTCCTGGGACACAAAAGGAAGGTGTTTCAAATCCTTAACTATCCTGACCTTTTCGGATCGCCAGATACAAAAATCACTTCCTTCCTCAGCAGTCCGGGACCAGGGATCTACTCTCGGGATGTGGACCCGGACGCACCACCTGTCAGTTTGAGGACCACAGAGCCTCTCACTTATTCTAGGGTCAAAGGAACCTGACTGGGTTGGGATCTCCGCTCTCCATCACTGAACCCAGAGGCTTGGCTGGGTTCCTCCTCTGCCCCCCACCGCAGTCCTGACTCACTCACAAGGGTAGTGACTGCGCTCCGACTCCATCCAGGCGGCGGTCTGAGGAACGCACATCTGTTGCTCGCCCCTCACCCGGGGCTGCGCGTCCTGTTCGGGTAAATTCAGGAGGCTGCGCACGGTGAAGCCGAGGCGTCCAGAGGTAGCCATGGCCGAGGAGGGGAAGAAGATGGGGGAACAGGGCAGGCCAGGAACCCAGGGGCGGCCGGGGACGCCGCTCCTAAGGATGGAAGTGGGAGGCGCTCGCCATACGCTGGCCTCAGGATGTCAGCGCCTTTGGAGGAATCCCTGTTTATATAAACAGCCCTCGCCACTCTGTAGGCTTTGAAAGCCGCGGTTGGGGTGTCCAGGGTCTTAAGTACCTGAATGAGTGCTGGTGCGAAGCCGGAGCAAGTCCGGAAGGTGCCATCTCCGCCCCCCGCCCCGCCCCGCCAGGCGCCCGCCCCCTCTGCAAGGCTACCTCCCAGAGGTCGCAGGAAGCAGGCCCGGTATTAGTGATTGTCTGATTAGACCAAAGTGGGGACAGATAATGGGGATTGTTGCCAGTGAATAACATCTTGGGTGGCGAACAGTGACCGCGGTCCTCCCAACCGAGCCCCAGCTTCCTTCTCTCAGGCTGACATGGGGCCTGGGCTGGGTGGTAGTGTTGAGGAGCACAAGTTTTGCAGGAGCCTCACCCCCGCAGTCCCCCCCACACACACACACACCCGCACCCCATGCACAATCTGAAAGGGCTGGTAGCCTGCGGGAGAGCTCCGGACCTGTGTCTGTCTCCTCAGGCTGACAAAAAACGGAGACAGCCAAAATCCAGATTCCGAAATCCCCATCTTGGTCTGGCCTCTATGGATCCTGAGTCTGGAGTTCTGTGCTGACCTCCTCCATTCAAGGACCCAAGAATGGTAGCAGTTTTAGGGAGTCCTGCCAAATCATTCAGGCTTCCTTCATATTGTCGCTCTGGCTTCTTCCCTGCCCCTCATCTCTGTGTCACCAAAGTCAGTGCCAGTTTCCGAGTTAGCGGCATAGGAAGGGGCAGTGGTCTGTGTTGCTCACTGCTTTCAGTGTAGCAGACCACAGCACAGCTGCCCCGCCTGGCATCAGAATGGGCGGATAGGCAGAATTAGCAACAGGCCCGCCCAAAAGAAATGTGCCTGGCAGGAGATTTCTCCCATGTCCTCTAGTCCCCAACAGAGCACAGATAAAATGATCCACGTGGAAGGCGGGTGGAGCGGGTAGGAGAGGCCAGATTCAGCCAGGAGCAGGAGCGGGCACATTCTGTTGGCCTCTAGCCTTCCTCTGGCTTCAGTCTAGCGCTTGAGTGCGGTCTCAGAAGCCTCTTTCCATCCAGCTAGTTATTTGGGTATCTGGTTTCTAAATTTCAGGGATGAGAGCTGCATTTGGGTAGCCGCACCCGAAAAATGGGCTTTGCTGAGGCTGAATTCGAACCTGACAAGGGCGTGGCGCCCCGACCACCCCCTCCCTCACCCAGCTTGCCCCCCACCCCCAGCTGCTGTCCTACCAAGCGTGCCTGAAGTGGCCGGTGGCATGGCGCGCTGGGTGGTCGGGCGGAGGCTAGCCCACTACAGGCCAACTGCTAGGCCACAAACAAAGGGGAAATGGAGCAGGGACACCCGGACCTGTTGGAAGCATTTGTTCCAGCAAAGATTTTGCATTTGTTCAGTCCGGAATAATGCGTGATTGACGTCTGCTCACAATGCGCTTTAGCTCGCTGGGATAAATCAGAGCTTGTCCGGTGTTGTCATGGTTTTCAATAGGATTCAATGGGATTGGGAGATCGATCGACTCTGCTGGCCGTCTTTCTGTGGCCCTGGCAATAGATTTATTAGTTATGTCTTTTTAAATGAGATTAAATTGAAATGACTGTGCTGACCTCTCTGCGGTGAAAACGCAGGCGGGAGCCAGAGGTTTGGCGAGAGGTGGTAGAGTTTTGGGGAAACCTGAGTGTAGATTCCAAGACCCTGTGTGAACTTGGAAGCTGTGCCAGGTGAGGCCTCTCAGACCTGGAAACCCGTGTGCATCCCTTCCCTGCCTCTGGCAAAATAGTCAGTCTTGAGATATTCATTCTCATATTTTCTCTCTCTCTCTCTCTCTCTCTCTCTCTCTCTCTCTCTCTCTCTCATCGGACCTCTGCCGCTCCAGCTCTCTCCCAAGACAAATAGATTTGGCATTTGGCAATTTCTTAGACTATTAGTTTCAGACTCTCATTCCCTCTCAAATTTCTTTGACCTATCTATGGTATGATTCGTTGTCAGTAGACTGTAATCCACCTTGCAGGACATTCTAGGAGTCGATGTGTCAGCTTTTCAGTTTGTGAAGGACTCTCCAGATGACTGTGCCCCCACCCCCCACCCCACCCCCACATTTAACAATTTTAGGAAGAACCAGGTTAGGAAATGTACAAGAGTCTTCCCTGGGCTGACTGACCTCTCTTAGCCTTTTAATCTATTTAACATTCGAAGACCACACTGATGTGTAGAAATAAGTAAACGACACCCTTCAGCTCTTAAGAGCTCTTCAGCTTCAAGTATTTGCTTTTACTCCCAGAGTTTGACTCCCAAGCTGCACAGCCCCTTTGCAGCAGTTGTGTTCTGAGGGAGAACTTGGATTTAGGGTGCGTTCTTAATATCACTCCCCGCTTCGTATTCTTCAGCTTCGGCCTTGTGTGCACGTATGTGTCCTGGGAAACCCTATGCTTCTTGATGATACAGAGCCCAGTCATTTCCCTGCTCAAACACATCCTTGAATATTCGCCTTCTTCCCAGGGTTCTTTTCTGAAACTTTACATCCACTCTTTCCCAGAGTCTGCGCCCAAAAACACCCGAGGAGGTTGTCCCCTGAAAACTATGCCTTCTGAAAAAAATGGAGAGGAGACACTCCTGAGAGGAAGGGACTCTCTGCACTGCCTCTTCTACCTTAAAGAATCAAAGACTTAAGTGTAGAAAACTATTTGGATACTAGGCCAGTAGGAAAAGAGTGAGAAGACCATGACTCTTGGCATACAGGAGATACAGATGTGTGTATCCTTCCTCTAGCCCCATACACAAGGGATTCTTGAAATTACAAGTTAATATCTATCTTTCTTATGGGGCATTTTTTTTCTAGATTTTCAAATGTTGGTTGGTGTTTTAGTCTGCAATTCGGCACAGTGTGTGAGTATTATTGCTTCATTGTGAGGGTTTGTTTCTCTGCAGTTGGGTCTAGTACATCCTAACTGGAGTAAGCTTTAATCTGATATGGTGAGAATGTTTGAACCATTCACACATTCCAAGTCTTATGCAGAGATCCTCATCATAGCAGAATGCTTAAGAAGTTACAACTAGGAAGTTCCAAAAATGAAACGAAAGTATCTTCATCTTTGGGGGAGGGGAATTGTGTCTTTAAATCCTCCTGCTCCTGCTCCTCCTCCTGCTCTTCCTCCTCCTCCTCCTCCTCCCCCTCTTCCTCCTCCTCATCCTCTTCTTTCTCCTTCTTCTCCTCCTCCTCCTCTTCCTCCTTTTCCTCCTCTTCCTCCTTTTCCTCCTCTTCCTCCCCCTCCCCTCCCCCTCCCCCTCCCTCCTCCTCCTCCTCCTCCTCCTTTATAGATTCCTGCAACTCTACACAGTGCTGGAGAGAGGCAATGCTGTGGAATCCTCTTGCCAGAGGATGGAGGGCCCTCCACTACCAGGACATTTCCCTCACAACAACTGCTCTCCCTTCTTTTTCAATTGTCAGTTAAAATAGCAAAAGGGGGGCTGGGGAGATGGCTAGTGGTTAAGAGGACTGGTTGATCTTCTAGAAGTCCTGAGTTCAGTTCTCAGCAACCACACGGTGGCTCACAACCATCTGTATTGGGATCTGATGCCCTCTTCTGGTGTGTCTGAAGACAGCAACAGTGTACTCAGACATAAAATAAATAAATACATCTTTTTAAAAAATAGCAAAAGGAAAATAAAAATGGGTCTTTGGCACCTGAAGAAGCATCAGAGGATGATCTCAGTTCGTATAATAGCTAGGAAAGACAGCATTTAAGAATGAGATCTCTTCAGCTTTCACTCTGGAAACTAGTTGGCTTGAATAAAAATCTCTCTTTTAATGACTAATAATCAATCACTTGGTGATGTGCTCAGCCTGGTTGTAGTTCTTTCCTAGCTGTGTGGATGATGTACGCCCAGATGACAAAAGACAGTGGTTACTTTCAGGCTAGGAATTTGGTCCATCTTTGAAACTGGCTTTAGATTTTATCGCTTAATGTCAAGTAACAAAATATGGGATGCTCTATATTAAGTCTCTTAAAATCAGGCTTTTGCACTGCTGTCGCTGTTGTTCCTGGTCTCTGGGGAAAAAAGGTTTTTCTTTTTCGCTTATGTTCACACAGTTGATTAAGTAGACACTATAATACATTATATCTACTGGACACTTACATCTGTATCTACATCTATATGTTCTGTTAGAACTCTGTTAAACTAACTGCCCTTGCATTCCACTTCCTAAAAGTTCAACAAAGTAAGATTTTAATTTTTAAAACTGGTTCATTTATTAACTCTTCTGATGGTTTTCATGTCTTCCAGTGGCATAAAAGTATTTGTTCTGACATTGTTTGTAAATTGTCGGAATCAAAATAACTACACAATACACCAAACATTATTTGTCTAGATCTAAAATTTTTACTTCTGTTTCATCTTTTTTTTGTGAAGGGTACTTTGTTAAATGTATAAACATAAATTTGACTGCTATAAATAAGTAAATTATGTTATAGAATGCATATATATACATACATATGTAATTTGACTTGTATAAATATAGATTATAAAATACAGAATCCTTTCTGAGTTTTACAAAACAAAAGATCCAGGTCTTAGATCAGTCACACCTGAAGTTATTAATAGAGAAGAACACACTCAGTATTATATATAGCTTATGTATAGTGTTATTTAAGGACAAGGAAGACAGACCCCAGGCCACATTTTATGACCAGTACCTTGCACAGACTAATGTACATGCTGAAAACCAACCACTGGCACTTTAGTCGAAGCTTTTAAAACAAGCTACCCATACCGTATAAAAAACACTGTAATGCGCCCCTTAAAAATATCATTGCTATGTTTTGAGATCAACTTCAAGCATTTACTGCACATTATTAAAGTGAGATATTATTCTTTTTATTGGCAGTAGTTTAAACTGCATATCAAAGTAGTCGTTCTGGATAAGTGTTTATTGAAATTTTATTAAGGCGATTTCTCAAGGACTGAAGATTCAAATATTCAGTTTTGAAAGCACTAATAATCACTTTAGGTTTTGAACATTTGAGAATGTTTCACTGCGTGCTTACCCTTGTAGTTCATCCTGAGTCAGGATAGCTTAGCCAGGAGAACTGGG